TATGGTGTCTGTGCTGCTGTGAGCCACCCTGTAAAGCCTGAAATCAGAGGTGTCGAGTCATGTTTCTCAGTTCTTCAGATCACGTCATATGTCTTTACACATTTAGATCACATGCACAGCCTCAAAAAGAGGGCCTGACTCGATGTTTAGGTCTCAAATGCAAAATTAACGATATGATAATAGCAGATCATTCACTTGCGTCATCAGAAGACGTGTCCCTCACTGAGTTTGACTGGGTTCTCTTTAAACACTCTTTCAATGTGCTCACAATCATCAGACTCATCTGCTCTGGGAAGGGTTCTCCTGCATGGTGCCTGCGACTACACATGAACAGAGGTCTTCACACACCCAAAGCTTAAATGTGTAGTTTTCAAAAAGGAAGTTCATCTACAGCAACGGATCATTAGCAGTTTCCACACAGTAGAAACCAGCACATCCACTATGCACCACAGACATCTTCCAACAGACGCAGCAGCTACCAGATTAATGCTGCATCCACAAGTTGGCAGTAAATGGACAAACTGGATATTCCATTGTTTTTGATGGAATATGGCTGATGGACTGTGCTTGCCGATAACTCTATCACTGCCAGTGGCAACATTCCCCGGACCGCAGCAGAATCAACAGCTCAATTTTCCCAACTTTTGCCATCGACCGCGGCAGTGAAATAAACCGGATATTTTTTGGGAGCCATGGATGCCAAAGGTCTCATTGTTGAATTTGAGATGAACCCAGAATTATAAAACCTTAAATCAACAACCTAGACTGCTAAAACCCTCATCTGTTTACTATCCATTTCTCGCCGGTACTGCGGTCACCATGCCAACATTTGTGTGGCTTCGTGCCGCCGTCAGTTCTGTCTGTCACTATGTGGCTTGGAATAATGTTTCTACACAACCGTGAATGTAGAATTAATGTGTTAAGGTCCGGAAATCACCAAACTCTGCAGCTACACTCATTGGTCACTTTATCAGAAACACATACCATCCATGTGCACTTTGTAGGTTTACAATAACAGACCGTGGCCCATCTCAGCCCCGTCTACCCCATCCATCAATGGACTGGAGCATGTAGGTCAGAGCTGGGGAGACAGAGGGACTCCCTGCATCTCATATGATGTGCAAAACAACTGATTTGAATAGTGGAAATGGGTGAGGAAGGAAATGCCCACTGTTCAAGGCTAAAGTGTCACTCAGAGGGAGACAGAAACAGCTGCATACTGTACCTTATTGCAGTACAACATCCAAACCTCGTACAGTCTCTCGCTGGATGCCATTCTGCAGGCACGCAGGGACAGCAATGACACACCAGGTTAGTGCCCCCGCTTCCACATCGCGTACAGAATTTCAGACTGAAGACAGGTGAGTAGATGCCTCATCCGGGGATTAGAATCCCAGATCCGCCGGATATTTCCCAGTATGAAGGTTCCTGGTGGCAGGAAGCTGTGTGCTGTGTGCAATACCACATGCCCTGCTTGGGGTCAGAATTTGACCTCTTCCTGTCCGTTTAAGGCTAATATTTTCCTTTTTCTGTCCGTCTGTCCCCTTCTTCCCTCGGACTGCACAACTGGAGGAGAAGCTGTCAGCTCTGCAGAGAACAAGAGAACACAAAACACCAGCTACATCATCATCAGCGCTGCGTTTCACCTGGACAGAGAAACATTCCACACTCAAACCCAGCGGACTGAGCCAATGTGGACTCGAGTCCCGAGTCACAGGTAGACTCTGACTGAGTCAGGCTCCTCACCCCAAACCACACTGCTCTACATGGTCATAAACAGCGGAAAGTAGCTGATGATGAAACTCGGTCGAGGTGGCACTTTTGTTTTCCACATTACTGACCACTCGACCACCTGCTAAAGCCCCCCAGACTCGCGCTGAACTTTACTAACCTCCACCTTCAGCGGCAGAAATGCCAGAAATGCGCATTAAACCACGGGAAGCGCTGCGGCAGATCCGCAGTGTTTAACGGGGTTAATGTCCGCCGTTATCGCTTCTGAGCCCTCGCGCTGAGGAGCTCCGGTTCAGAGAAACGTTAACGTAACTCACCCGCATCAGAGTCCGACAGTCCGACCGACCAGGAGTCAGTAAAACAACAGAACCGAAAGCGGCGGACAGACAGGCGGACGGAGGGGGACGAGGCTCCGCGCTGTTTTCCTCCGGAGGAGAGCAGAACCGACCGGACCGACCGAACCAACCGCAGCGCTGAGCCTGGAGCTCCGGCAGCGCCGCCAACATAAACCCTACAGCAACGCTCCTCACCGCTCACTGACGCTGCCCTGAACGCGGCTCGGACGGGCAGCGCGGCCTAAACCCGCTTCTCTCCCTCCTGGCTTTATTAATTAATTATTTTATTTATTTATTTCCTTATTTATTTATTTCCCTCATCGCTGCTTTTGCGACACTGCCCCACTCCTTTACGGTGCCTATGTGGAGCTGCGTCGTCGTCGAGAGGCGGGGCTCCGCGTCACCATGGAAATATTACAACTATTCGTTAATATTTAGTTTAATATTTATGAAATATGGACTATATTAGCGTAATTATATTCGGCGCTTTCTTTGAATAGAGTTCATTTTGAGCTTCGATTCTCTTTAAGCTGGACTTTTTTCTCTGTAAACAAAATCAGCTTTTCTTGTGTTTAGTAACTTTAATGACCGAATCGACAGTTCCGGTGATGTAACCTCCCGATTACATGTTTAAGACTAAAAATGTTTGTTTAAAATGTTTTATTTTCACCGAAATGACTCAACAGCAGAGCTGAAGTCTGTGTAACCGGATATACGACACAAATTATAAAATGATGGGATACAGCGCCACTTGCTGGTCAACAGTTGAGTTCTCCTATCAATAATGTTTTGTATTGATTGATGATATTTATTGATTTATTGGGGACTAATTTAGCCTGACTGTAGTCAAAAGATTGAACAAAAGAATAAAAGCTAATTATAACTTTTTACATTTTTAGAATATTTACAAAATATTCTGCCTCCTCATTCATTTCAGATCAGGGTGTGGAATATCTCTGTTCACCCAGAGAGAGAGAGTGAATATAAAGTACCACTCAAAAGTACAGAAACACATAAAACACCTACATTCGTAGCGAAAAGAGCCTGTTACGCTGTTCAAACCTCACCTGCATGAACTGACCCTCCTGCTGCTGCTGCATAAACTCAGTCTATCTAATTAACCGTTGCTCCGCCTGTTTTTCCCCGTTTCGTATTCTAATATTTTATACTAACGCTGTTTGCTGTCCGGTGTGGTCCAGAGGAGGATGGGTTCCCCTTCTGAGTCTTGGCTCCCCTCAGTGTTTCCTCCTTTTGCTCTTAGGGAGTTTCTCCTTGCCACTGTCGCCGTTGGCGGCGCTCATGAGGGTTGGGGGGGGGGTTAAAAAACCAACAAAGCATGTCATTTGAACAGGGGCGCCCAAACTTTTGTGTATGACTGTATTTAATGTAACTAAGTGATGTTTTGAAGCACAGCGCCACTCTCTGGTCAGAAGCTGAATTCTCCCAACAATAACTGTGGAATATTTTTTGGTTAATGATACATTAATATGGACTAATCTAGTTACAACAAGTGAATAAAGCAAATATTCATGCAGACCATGAGAATAATCTAATAATCTCTCGATATCCTCTAATCGCACTGACACGTAATATTAAATTTGAGACAGATTTTCTTACAGTTCATTCCTGTCCAGTAAGTTATGAAAACCCCTCCTTACCTTTTTAGAGGAATTCCACTGATTTGTCCAAATGTCTGCATTATTAAATGGTTAGGATGTAAACAAAGTCATTCAGAGTGCTTTGATGTAAAATGCTCTATTCCAGCAGAGTTAGAATTGTTTACAGTGGTGGTGATAGGAACCAGACGTCCATAGTTTTTAATGCCTCTAAAAGCTCCCTATTACACGAAATGGTCATGAATAAGTCTGAGATGTCAGATTGTTTTATGATGGCTTTAATATAAGCTTTTGGCCTAAAATGTATTTTTATAAGCCATTCGTGGCAGAGAGGTACATGCAAAGCACCAGAAGGCAAAATAACAACCCCTGCTTCACCACCATTGTAAAAAAAAAAAAGAAAATTGTCAGTAAATCACTCTGAATGTCCGTTTACATCTCAATGACTGAATTACACAGATTTTTAAAAAACCAGCAGAATTCCCCTTTAAGGTATTTATAAAAATGAAAATAAAACCCCTCCTCGCTCTTGTTTGTCAGTGCTGATGGTCTTTAATTCATCTGTGGGGGGTCTGCTACGGTTCATGGTTTTCCTTTAAGGTGAAACAATCCTTGGCTTGCTTTGTTGTCCCTATGTGTGTGGATTACGGGTGAATATGAACGGTGCTTGCGAGATGTTTCTTCTGTGACTGCGACGGGACAGGATTTCCTGAACAACACCGTGTTTATAATCTTGCCATCGTTTTTGCTCGAAGAACATTTTGCATAACTCATCATCACTAGAACAGCAAAACAAGAACAACAATAATCATTTGTTTACAGTTTCAACAGGACTACAAGCAGAAATCACCTTAACAGGCCATGAAGTGGACACTATCAATCATCAATGTATATATATATACATACATACATACATACATCATCTAAACCGCTTATCCTTCTGGGTCACGGTGGGGTGCTGGAGCCTATCCCAGCTGTCACTGGGCGAAGGCAGGATACACCCTGGACAGGTCGCCAGTCCATCGCAGGGCAGACAGACAAACATACACAATCACTCACACCTAGGGGCAATTCAGCACGTCCAATCAGCCTGACTGCATGTTTTTGGACTGTGGGAGGAAACCGGAGTACCCGGAGGAAACCCACGCAGACACGGGGAGAACAGGCAAACTCCACACAGAAATGACCCTGGTCACCCAGCCGGGACTTGAACCCAGGCCATTCTTGCTGTGAGGCGACAGCGCCACCGTGCCGCCCCCTGTATGTATATATGTATATATATATATATATATATATATATATATATGTCTGTGTTTACAGTTTTAAGAGGCAGCATCTACGGGTATGGGTATCACTCAGAGTCAGATCAGCCAAATCATGTTTGGTGTCTGAAGTTTGCTTCTTTAGTCTGTTAGAAATAAAGGTTCTGTTCAGGTCCATTTTCTGTTCATCAAGGTACAAACAGTGTAAATGTTCCCTCAAAGCTCCAACAGTGGTTTTAAGGTCTGATTGTGAACCTTAAATAAGTGTTTCCAGGTGAAAAGTTCGTATTTGTACCTTTTCATAACCGAATGTTTTAAACAGAACAGTAAAATAAAAGCCTGGAGACGAGACGGGGTGTGTGGAGTCAGTACAGCTCAGAACATATCATTTCAGTGGATTATGGTTCAGTTATGTTCCCTGACTAAAGGTACTGAGATGGACCACTGAGGGTTCCACCCCAGTGACAGTTTAGGACCTTTATTTCTGAGAGTGGAGTTTAGCACTGGAGCTACGAGGCTAACGTAGCTAACAAGTAACGGGAGCTTATAGCTCATCAATTAGCATGCAAACTGCATGCCTACATCATGTCAAGTCAAGAGGCTTTTATTGTCATTCCATCTATGTACAGTACACAGTGGAGCAAAATTACGTTCCTCCAGGAACAACACGGTGCAACAAGGAACAAAAAGTACAAAAGTACAAAATTACAAAGCGCGAACGTGCAGACAGTGCAAACAAAAATCAAGCTAGAAAACAAATAAATACAATAAATTAAACAGACATTAGACACAGTAAACAGACCGGACAGTGCAGCACCGACACAGCACAGATTTCTGTACATGAGGTAGTGGAATAAGGTGCAGACATATTTGACGTGATGTGATCTGTAGGTTATGTCGGATAACATACAGACACACAGCAGTTACTGGGGTAGTAAAACAAAAAATAGTAAAATCATCACACTACTATCCCAAATAGTGTTGAAGTGTTTAGTATCTCTTATAGACTTTAAACTTCAGACATCAAACATTTCTTGTCTGACTGACTACATTTCAGGTAAATTAGATTTTTTCATCAAACTGTACCTTTAATTGATCTACGTTAATTGATCTAGGTGTGAGGAGTGCTCTGATCTGCCCTAAAGGTTCCACAGTGTTCTAATGAGCTGAGGTGAGCATGTCTGCATTTCTGTGTCAATCAAGCCAAAAAGGGTGCAGATTCTGCACCAATCGAGGCGCCACTGGATCAGCGTAAGCACATAAGTCTCACCTAGGATAGGTTTTCTGCAGGTCCTCCAACTTCTTCAGTGTGTCGGGATCCACCAGCTCATCAAAGCGAGACGTCTCCAGCCTGACTACCTGCACGCTCTTACTGAGCAGTGTGAACCTGCGGCTGTCTCTCTGCTTCACCGGCAACAGATACTCATTAAAGCCCTACGCAGAGTTTAACACAAATAATAATAATAATAATAATAATAATAATAATACAAAATATCATGGACTTGCTGCAAAGTCAAGAAAACAGATTTGTGTCTGTGGAGGCTGTATGACATACTGTTATCTTTAAGCATGCAGTTTGCATGATGCTAATTGCTGGGTATCAGCCTTATGACCTTATGACTCGGAATGACTCAAGACTCAAAGTGGAGAGCTTCTGGCTGCAGACTGGACACTCTGCAGTCGGTTACTTTTCACGTGAATGGATTCATTTTGTGCCAGAATTGTATCAAATACAAATTAAATATATATCAATATACATGCTAATGGTTGGCTTGGAGCATTAGCATTTAAGTTCACTTCCATAAGCTAGAAACAAGCGAAGCATTAATAGCACCAATAAGTCCTCGCTCTGCACTTAAACTCCAGTCTTACTGGAGAAACTTGCCAGCTGAACTGACCATTTTCCTCACGGTAGCTAAACAAAGAAACAGATCTCTCCAACGGAACAGCTGTAACAGCTTCTGCCGTTACAGTACCACAGATTTTGTAATGTATTAACCTGCTGTCATTAAAAGGCTACATTACTGTCACGGTCATTTTAGATGCTCAGTGTTTAAATGGCATTAAATTTGCTGAAGAATCCATACTGACTTGTGTAGGACTCGACGTTTAGGCCTCGTCTGACTCGCCTGTACTGACCTAAATGGAGACTTGAGAGTCAAATGTCAAGACATGAGACTTATAGTTACTCACTTATTCCCACCTCTGGCTTCCATTACTTGCTGGCCACATTAGCTTCACAGCTGCAGTGCAAAACTAAAGAAGACTTAGCTGTCCTGGCTGATCGACAACATTTGTGATAAGTTTGAAAGTGTGTAGTTCTGGTTTTTGAGCACTGAAGCTCCTGTTAAAGCCTGCAGGATCTCATAGGGCAGCAACTGAGAACTGACGATGAAGTGATTCATCACGTTCTTCAACCTTAACTTACAAAAGTGCTCCCCTGGCGCAGGCTGTCAATCAGGAAGCAGGCAGATGTGGGCAGGTCAGTGGGAGGAGCTTGTGTCAGGGGGCGGGATTTGTTCTTAGAAGTGCTGATGGACAAAAACATGGCTGGTC